CTCACCACCTACCTCTCGTCCCCCTCTCTCCCTCCCCCTCTTCCTCTTACCTTCCTCACTCCCCTCTGCCAAACCCTGTAGCCCCATCTCCGGAATGAAGTTGGACTAAGCATTGCAATGTTATGTGCCTGATTGAAAACGAATCCAGCATGGCATACACACCTTCCCATTCACATGCAGTTGGTATCGGAGCCACGACCGCGTGCATCTGCGGAACGAATTGATTGGCCATCAACTATCTGGCCGGCGGTTGGCGGTTCGGGGCGGTGCCCCGCTATCTTCAACGTTGACGGCGGTGATAGTTGCTGAATGATTGGTGCGCATCAGCGAGAAAAAGAAAAAAAGAAAAAAAAGAAAAAAAAAAAGAAAGTGGAGCGGTTCCGGAATTGAGCGGAGGTCGGCAATATTTGACTAGGACGTCAACCCTAATCAGCATCGCTGTTTGACTTGAGGGTTTCGCGGCCCTCAACTGACAGGCACTGCCTGTTGGCCGTCTACGGGATTGAAGACCCCACTTGGGGAATATCAATTTGCAGCAGAATTGAGCGGCGAATCACCCAAGAAGGTGGATTGGAGGTCAGCGAGGATTTTGACGGGGCGCTGACCGACGGCGAGTCAGCCAGGCCCCTTTATCTCGGTCGATGGTTTGACCGGCGATCTTCTCCAATCAAGACCTTGATCGAGTGAGTTCGTTCCGACGACCAGTTCCCTTGACGTCAGTCCGTCGGTCTGTCAGAAATGGCTGCCAGTCTGTCAGTCGTCTAGAGGGTGCTGCCTGTTTGTCAGTCCGGTCGTCGTTGGTAGTTTTTTTTTCTAATGCGTTGACTGTTAGATTTTGCGGTTGATCGTGGTTTTGAATCTGCGTACGGTTTGGTGGCGGTCCTTGTACTGTCGGACAACCTATTTCCGGTCTGTCACGTCAGACCTGGTCCTAGTCCAGGTCAGTCCTTCCAGTCCTGAAAGGTCGTCCCGCTGTGTCAGAACGGTCCGCCCCATGACTCTGTCTCCGCATTCTATCACGCTCTGTTAGTCTACCGAGTGGTCGACAGCCAGCTAATTGCTGCTTGTTCTCTTTCTCTGCAAATTGAAATAAAGTTCTCCGGCAGGTTTTTTTTTTCTTCTGCGTGAACTCGGAATTTCTCGCCCTGCTAATTTGTGCTGGTGTTCTAAGGAAAATCCGGAAAGGATTTAATCAGAGATTATTTTATTTTTGATTAGTTTGCTGCGTGCGGTAAAAAGRAAATCATTGGTTGATTTTGCTGCTAAACRTTGCTAGCAACCTCCCKGAGCACCTACAGACACTAAGCACTAATCTGCCATCTGTCTTAACCCTTCTCTTAAAACTGAGTAAACAGTACAGCCTGATTCCGATTAGCTTGTTGTTCTGTGTGTGAACGCTAATCCGAATTTTTATTTTATTTTGGGAAAATAACACATTTGGGTATGGCTAATGGCGCAGACTCTGGCGGTTATGGGGAGGACAGAGGCAAAGGTCCCGTTATCCCCAAAACCGTCATTGAGCTGGCGATTGAGAAGGAGGCGGCTGCAGAAGAAAGCCGCAAGAGAATTGAGAGATTGAAGAGAGAGAAGGCTGAGGGGGATAAAAAGGCTCAGGCAGAAGCCAGACGGGCAGTGCTGGCAGAGCATTTCTTGGCCGCTGAATCTGATGAAAGGTTCAGCGACACCAACAAGAAAATGGCTGAGTGGATCCGCTTGGAGTTCACGTCAATCARAGATGCCCTCACTGCCTGGATGGACCGGGCTGATGCACTAGAAGACCGCTTGACTACAGTTGAAGCCAAGCAGTCTTCTATTGTAGAGTCACTGGATCGAATCGACCAACGTCTCACTACATCTCTTACCTCTCTTCCTGTTCACTCAGTCAAACCCGAACTCAAACCGGTCTCTACTCCGCCTACAACACCACACTCTTTGCCCAAAGGGAAACCTGCTTCCCCAAAGCAGCAGATTGTCCCTGAGGACCTGAAACTTGGCGCTGGCAGTTCAAGCCAACAGGAGCAACGTTTCCCCAAGATGATGCAAGCTGACAAATTCACTGGCGACGACGCCAAAGTGGACGTGTCAGATTTGATCGCTTCCATGAAGTCCTATCTGAGGGGATTCACCTGCCCAGAGGTCAACAAGGTGCAGTCCACTGTGGCCCTATTAGCGGGGTCAGCATTGAAGTGGGCGACCTCTGAGGCCACCAAGTCTCAGCAGCAGTTATCGGATTGGGCTGTTGCAGTGGGTTTAGATACCATCTTCCACGGCCTGGAGGCGAGGTTTGCAGATAAGGAAAAGGCCCGCAAGCCTGCAGACGAGCTGGTTAGTCTTGGCCAGACAAAGTACAGGGGTTCCCTAGCCAAGCTCTATGCAGAATTCGAGCGTCTTACCTCTACTCCCGGTTTGGAAATGTCTGACAGGGACCAACTGACTTGGTTCATCAGGGCAGCTCCTGAGAAATATACCACGGCCCTGTATTTTGCCGGATACAAAGACTGGCGATCTTTTGGCAGAGCAGCCTTGGACATGGAGGCCACCCTCCATGTCCAGTCCACTCCCCAGAAGGGAGGCAACCCCTCTTCCCAGAGTAGGACAAGAGAAAGGGGAATTTGTATGCCATGGAGTCTGATGATGACTCTGCAGGCACTAGCCAGGGAGGATCTACTCCCCCAGCTGACCAGGGTGCAGGGACATCAGCAGACCAGGCTGCTCAGGTGCTGGCCCAGGCACTGCTAGCCCTCACAAGAGGCAAGCAGTTCCAGGGACAAAAGTCCTCCAGTCCTAAGGGGTCAGGCAAACGCCCCGGTGGTCCGCAACAGCACAACCTCCCGAAGTTTGCCAAGTGCCCCGCCAGTCCCATGGACATTTCCTCTGCTCCTTGGAGGGATCTAAGAATCCCAGAGGGCGTATGGCAAAAGAGGAAGGAAAAAGGGGTCTGTTTGAGGTGTGAGAGCAATCACTATGTCAAGGATTGCCCTAAGCTGAAACACAGCAACTGCAGCCATTCAAAAAACTGAGCAGGCCAGCAGAGGCTACAGCCAGCCCTGCTGGACTGAATCCATCTCCTTCAGGAGATGAATCAACTACTGCAGCCTGATTTTTCTGAGGCTGCAGGGGACTCAATCTACTCTTATATTGAGCCCCTTCTTGATGAGCCCTCGTCCGAGGAGGAGCTTGATCAGCTCTGTTCCCTTCATCTCCAGTTTAAGGAGAAGAGGAAGAAGAGATCAGAACTGATCATGCTCAGGCCTCAAATTAACAGAACCAGGATCAAAGCCTTGCTGGACTGTGGGGCTACAAGGAACTTCATTTCTCAGAATGGAGTTCAGAAACTTCATTTGGGTCTCAAGGTTACTGACCTTGAGCATCCTTTGGAGATACAGATAGGGAATTCCCAATCTGTCTCAATCAAGCAACTCATCAAAGGAGTGCCAGTCACCTTTGATGACAAGGGTGAAATCAGACATTCCCTGAATTTCTATGCTTTTCCCCATCTCCCCTTTGATCTGGTCTTGAGTCTGAAGTGGCTAAAGGCTACTAACCCTTCAATTGACTGGGCTCTGCCCAGTATTCAATTGAAGAATTCCCAGGGTGAGCTAAGACAGTGTGTCCTAGCTACGGACCATCATCCTAAGACAAGTTGTTACTGCCTGAAAGCGAGAGAGTTTTACAACTTCTCTAAGGAAACTGACCATCAGAATCTGTTTGTGGCTTATGTCACTCAAACAGATTCAGTTTCCTCCCCTTCTCAGACTGATTTTTCCATTCAACAGCTGGTTGATGAATTTTTTGATTTGGCCCAGGAGCCTACTGGAATTGTCCATAGGCAGATCAAGCACCACATTCAGATTCTCCCTGACTCTACCCCTCCCAAGGGAAGAGTCTATAGGATGTCACCTGTTGAACTGGATGAGTTGAGGAAACAGTTGGAATCCTTGACAAAGAAGGGATGGATCAGGCCCAGCTCATCTGAGTATGGGACACCAATTCTCTTTGTTCCAAAGGGAAATGGTGAACTCAGGATGTGCATTGACTACAGGGGCCTGAACAAGATCACTAGGAAGAGCTCTGAGCCCTTGCCTAGGATCGACGACTTGTTGGACATGGTGCAAGGCTGCAAAGTCTTCAGCAAAATTGATCTGAAATCCGAGTATCATCAGATCGAAATGGCTGAAGAGGATGTCTACAAGACAGCCTTTAAAACCCGGTATGGCACCTATGAGTTCCTGGTCATGCCTTTTGGTCTGTGCAATGCACCAGGAACATTCCAGACTGAAATGAATCGCATTTTCAAACCTTTCCTTGACCGCTTTGTTGTGGTGTACCTGGATGACATTTTGGTATACAGCAAAGATGCCAAGGAGCATGCAGACCACCTCAGGAAAGTTTTGCAGGTCCTAAGGGAACATAAGTACAAACTAAACAAAGAGAAGTCATCATTTGGTCTTTCCTCTGTTTTGTACCTAGGTCATGTGATCTCTGCAGATGGTCTATCCCCTGAAGCCTCTAAAGTGGCTGCAGTCAGGGAATGGCCACAGCCACAGACTGTGAGGGACATCAGATCTTTCATGGGGTTAGCCTCTTACTACAGGAAGTTCATCAGGAACTTTTCCTCTATTGCTACTCCCCTGACAAATCTGCTAGCCAAGGATGCTCCCTTCAGGTGGTCCACCACTTGTCAGTTGGCTTTCTCCAGATTGAAGAAAGCACTTACTCAGGCACCTGTGCTGAAACTACCTGTCCCTACCTTGCCATTTGAGTTTACCACGGATGCAAGTCAGTATGGTGTTGGTGCAGTCCTTCAGCAAGATGATGGGACCGGCCTGAAACCGGTGGAATTCATGAGTAAGAAAATAAAGGTGCAAAGGATTCAGGCGTCTACTTACGAAAAGGAACTGTATGCTCTCGTCTGTGCCGTCAAACAGTGGAAGCATTTCTTACTTGGGAGACATTTCAAGATCTTTTCTGATCACTCCACCCTGCAGTGGATGAAGACCCAAGATGAGTTAAATGATAAGTTGGCAAGGTACATTCAGTTCATCGACGGATTTGACTTTGAACTGAAACACAAGAAGGGATGCTATAACAGGGTTGCTGATGCATTATCACGTAGACCTGATTCCTTCGCAGCCATTGTTGACACTTACTCTTTTGCTGATCCCACCAGAAAGGCCATTGCTGATGCGTTGCCTCAGGATCCAGTCTTTGGCCCCATTCTTAGGAATTTACAGGCTGACCCCAATTCTGAGTCAGGCTATGCCTTGGCTTCGGGCTTGCTGTATACAATCAGCGAAGGGGAAGAACGTTTGTGCATCCCCAATCATCGCAAGATCATCAATCATCTGATCTCAGAGAGCCATGATGCTCGCGGTCACTTTGGGTTCTTAAGGACGTATGCTACCCTGATCCAACGTTTCTATTGGTCTAAAATGAAAGACGATATCCTGCATTACTTGGACACCTGCGAATTGTGCTAAAGGAACAAGGTCCACAGGAGACCTCCTATGGGACTTCTCAAACCTCTACCTATCCCTGACGGTCCAGGTGAGTCAGTGTCCATTGATTTCACATACCTGGGCAAAACCACTCCACGTGGAATGAGACAGGTAATGGTTTGTGTGGATCGATTCTCTAAGTTTGCTGAGTTTATCCCCTTACCTGCTGAGGCCAGAGTACCTCTGGTCAGAGAGCTCTTTTGTGAGAGGTGGGTAAATGTCCATGGGTGCCCAACCTCCATTGTCAGCGATAGAGATTGCAGATTCTGCAGCGATGATTGGCAGTCCTTCTGCAAGGACTACCTACATTCCAGACTAGACATGACCTCTGGCAGACATCCCGAAGCCAATGGACAGGCCGAAGTGATGAACCAAGTCTTGTTTCAGTTGCTACGTCCTGTGATCACACCCGATCAGCAGGACTGGGACAGACATCTGTCACGNGGATCCAGTCTTTGGCCCCATTCTTAGGAATTTACAGGCTGACCCCAATTCTGAGTCAGGCTATGCCTTGGCTTCGGGCTTGCTGTATACAATCATCGAAGGGGAAGAACGTCTGCGCATCCCTAATGATCGCAAGATCATCACTCATCTGATCTCAGAGAGCCATGATGCTCGCGTTCACTTTGGGTTCTTAAAGACGTATGCTGCCCTGACCCAACGTTTCTATTGGTCTAAAATGAAAGACGATATCCTGCATTACTTGGAGACCTGCGAATTGTGCCAAAAGAACAAGGTCCACAGGCGACCTCCTATGGGACTTCTCAAACCTCTACCTATCCCTGACGGTCTAGGTGAGTCAGTGTCCATTGATTTCACAGACCTGGGCAAAACCACTCCACGTGGAATGAGACAGGTAATGGTTTGTGTGGATCGATTCTCTAAGTCTGCTGAGTTTATCCCCTTACCTGCTGAGGTCAGAGTACCTCTGGTCAGAGAGCTCTTTTGTGAGAGGTGGGTAAATGTCCATGGGTGCCCAACCTCCATTGCCAGTGACAAAGATTCCAGATTCTGCAGCGATGATTGGCAGTCCTTCTGCAAGGACTACCTACATTCCAGACTAGACATGACCTCTGACAGACATCCCGAAGCCAATGGACAGGCCGAAGTGATGAACCAAGTCTTGTTTTAGTTGCTACGTCCTGTGATCACACCCGATCAGCAGGACTGGGACAGACATCTATCACGAGCACAACTGATGTATAACACGTCTGTTCACAGCACCACAGGCTTTACACCCTATAAGCTACACTTTGCAAGAGACCCCATACAACCTCTGGACGATCTGATTGACAAGTCCAAGCCTAAACTAACTCCTGGAACTGCAGAGTTCACCAAGAGTTATGAGAAAGACCTAGAGAAAGCTAGGCCCAGAAGAGGATGATCGAACAGGCTAATAAGCATCGCTCTCCCTCTACTATTCGACCAGGTCACTGGGTCTGGGTGAAAAGATCTGAATTAACTGATGAGCAGGATATTTCAAGAAAGTTGTTACCTGTCTATTATGACCCATGGCAGGTACTTGATACGGTGGGGGCAGATCCATTTGGACCTTCCTATGTGCTTGCTGTACCCTCTCATATCAAGACCTATCCGGTCTTCCATGCCTCAAAACTGCTGCCTTTCGCGTCTGCTGATGCATTCCCTGATAGGCCCCCGCAGTTTGGACCTCCAATCCCTGGAAAGGGATACGAAGTTGAGAGCATCGAAGATCAGTGGGGCACAGGCCCCAACTGTGAATACCTTGTGAAGTTTCTGTTCCAGCCTCACACAGAGGACCGATGGTTCCCAAGGAAGGAATTTCTCAAGTCTGCAAATTCAGTTGTGCGTGCCTATGAGGCCGAACAGAAGGGACAACCTCTCAGACGTTCCCCTCGTGGACACCCCTAGCTCGGAGTCCTCGCTCCCCGGGAGGGTAGGAATGCAATGAATTGCAGTGGCATGCGAGCTGTACATTAAAGTTGTTTGATGTTGCCTGGTTCTGAGTCCGTCGGGATTCGATCCCGCGACCTGTTTCTCTGCTTGTTTGTTTGTTGGCTTTGTTTGCCTGGTTGTCTTGAGCCTTGTTGGGCTGGATCCCTAGACCTGTCGGCAGCAGTCTCTGTTGGCTGGTCATAGACCCTTCAGGCTGTTTTGGTTGTTTTAGTAGGAGGAAAGTAGGCCCTCCCCTCTGGTGCTGTTTTCTGCCTAGATACAGTCCTAGGCTGAAAGTGCAAAACGAGGCTGTAGGCTGTCGGGTCTGGGAGGCTGGAGGGGAACAAAAGTACCGAGGGCAAAATTTTCGGGGCTGGTCGTCATTTTTTTTCCCCACGAAGTGCTGCTGGAGGTCGCTGCTGAAGCTGCGTTAATTCCAAGTGCTGCTCCTCCTTCCTGATTGAAGGGAGCTGACGGCCATAGCTGGGCTTACCTGGCTGATGTGGAATTGGCCCCGGGGCATCRAGCCCTGCTCTGTGAGACGCTTCCTCCATTGCTGTCCAGTTGGGGTTCGGACAGCTGCCATCGAAGCAGCTTTTCCATGCCTGCTTCGAAGTGGCAGGGCACCATCTTCATCGAGTTGTTGGGCTTCTTCATCGTTCAGGGAGCTGCCCTCCCTTGTTGATCGAACACATCATCTGCGGTGGGCACCGTGGTTGGACCGCTGGTGGGCTGTTTGGGGATACAAGGGCTGGTGGCGAACAGTGGGCTTGAAAGGTTGGGCGCAGGCCTGCGCCATAGCTGTGAGCTCGAAGGTGTGGGAGGAAGAAGAAGTCTCCCTCGATGAAACTCTGTAAATAATTTGTTCGTAGGTGTTGTTAACGTGGTTGGGATTCTTGGGGTTCGTGCTGTCGATTGAACTGGGGAGAGACGGTAATTAGAATTGATTTCGTTTAACTTGTGTTTTGGATTCTGTGTGCTTCCGCTGTGCAATTTCATCACCCGGTTTGGTGTGGTTTTCTCTCTCCAAGTCTACTGGCCATTTCGCATGTGAATGGGAACGTGTGTATGCCATGCTGGATTCGTTTTCAATCAGGCACATAACAGCAACATCCTACTTAAGACAAAAAACTTCCCACCACCTACCTCTCATCCCCCTCTCTCCCTCCCCTTACCTCACCCACTCCCCTCCACCAAACCCCGTAGCCCCGTCTCTGGAATGAACTTGGACTAAGCATTGCCAAATCCTACTTTAAGACAAAAAACTTCCCTCCGAATATATTCACATCGGCAGGGATGGCACACATTCAGAGTAGCAGACCACTCGACACTCCTGATTCAGAACAAACTTTTCTCAATCACTTCAGGTGCATGGGAAAACTCTCCAAATCTGCACTAGTTTAAGAGGAAGAAACACTTACAAAGTAATGAGTCATATCTGAACTCTACCTGAATGTACTCGTGATGAGAGACGTTGCCTCCTCTCAGAGTGCTATTGAAACCTGCACGTGGAGAGACGCATGCATGATCATTTTCATCAGTTTTTGAAAAAAGAAACATTGAATAAGCAGCATAACAAGATTAGTTTACTCCAATATAATGGACAAGGTAAGGAAATCTAATAGCTCGCAAGGTCTGGAAATCTTATATTCTCCCCTTCTTTTTACTATTTCCTTTGTGTGTGTCTATTGTATGGAACTACGACCCAAACACACACACATCAGAGGATATGCGTGGCTGAGTGGGTTGTATGGCCCTGACAGACTACTTTCTCAGACTACAGGCATTCTTTTCAGGGGCTTGGCCTGGCAGTCTGCTGGGATTGCAGTGCGTAAAGTCAACAGCGTTACAGCGGGAGAAAAAAATTTGGGCCTAGAACTTGTGGTGGCAGGAGAGGGGGCGGAGGGGGGGGTGGCTGGGTTGGGGGGTTGGAATGGGTAGGTACCAGGTATTCCACGGTTACCCGATAGGAACCTCTACCCGCCCATACCCATACCAGTTTTTTTTGTTGCCACCCGTACCTGGCCATACCCGTTCTATTTTTAGTTTTGGCTGCCCATACCAGGGTTCCCCCCCCTGTGACGGGGCTGAGGCAGAGCAGCGAGGTCGGGGAAGAGAGAGGGAGGGAGTGAGAGCACACACACACACTCACTCAACTCGACACAGACTCGACACGACTCGTCGGACACGAACACAAAGTTGCAAAGTCGCAAAGTCGCAAGCTTGGTTCCGTACACAATGTCGCAGCAAGTCACACTGAAGCACAAGCACTGAGGCTGAAAACTCAGTCCCGAACTCAGCTTGAGTCCGGTATTAAGTACCGGACTCGAGTTGAGTCCGAGGGCAAAAGTGCAATTTGCCTCGGGGCTGAACTGAAAATCGAAGGTCTGAGCCTGGGCGCCAAAATGCCGGATGGCGCCAAGTACGAAATCCGAAAGTGGCAGAGGTGGGATTTGAGAACGGGCGCCAACTGCAGAGGGCGCCAACAGTCAGGAACCGGAGATCAGAAACTCCAAAAAAAATAGAATAGCAGCCTGGCGGGTGGTACCCTGCGGACCAGGGATCGAGCCCCGGCTGAGTCCGTAACGCTATCCCCTCCCTCTGGAAAGCAACGTCCCGGCTGCCAAAGACCCAATGAAACTGTGACATGATAATCCTATTGAGGTTCTACAAGTAGGTAGTCCTATTGGTGTTCTACAAGGTTATAGGTTGTCAGGTTTGAGAGGAAAAAAAAATAAAAAAAATAAAAAATTGTTTGTTCAATGCTCAAGTGTTGGGGTGTCTGAGGAGTCCAGAAAAACAACATCTCAGGTCTGTAACAAAGTGTCAAAAGCGGAGAAAATGTCTTGAGGAAGGTCTTGGAGGGTGTCGCAGAAGTGGCGGTGAGGAAACAGTCTTCAGCAGTTCCGTGATGTAGAAGGCGAGGAGTTCAGCTTGATTGTCGCAGTAGCAAGTTGCGTCCGGTACACGATCTAATGATGAGGTCTGATCCGGATAGCAGGTCGCAGACTGATCTTGTTGTCCATATCAAAGGTGCTGCTCCAGAAGTCTGGGAGTCCAAGGTGCTGGCCAAAGGGAACAGCATGGTGGCCAACCAGCTGTCTTATCTTCTCGTTCTGAGCTGCAGCATGCCATCGTCCTCGCGCGCTTGCCATTAGATCCATTATCGCCGGCGACGCGCAGGGGCCACAAAGAGAATTTGGACAAGAGAGACAAGGATGTGGCGGAGGACAGATGGGAGAACAGGGCGAGATGGAGGCAAGAGCAGATCAGACAGAGGGAGATCAGGGGCAAGGGCTTTGCTGGGTGCAGGGGTGTGTGTAGAGCAGGAATGCGGGGTTTTGGCGGGGTCAAGGCGGGGTTTATGCAAGGGTTTAAGGTTAGTTATATTATGTATCTAGGATATACGGTGAGCACGATCATAGGCGCAAACAAGTTTCATAGCATTCTTAAGGTTAGCAAGAGGTTCCCATGTGGATTCTTCGTCGGGGTATCCTGTCCATTTAACTTTGTATTCTGTGATTGGTTCGGGGTGGTCAGATACCTGAGTAGTTCTACGTCCTATGATGGCTTCGACGCTGAATTCAGGGCCTGTGGGTAACATGATTGGTGGAGGTCTAGGATATGGGCGGTCAGCGAATTGGGGTGGGGATTCATGGTATTCTTTTAGGTATTCTACGTGGAAGACAGGGTGGACACGACTCATGTCAGGGGGGAGTTTGTAGTTGACGGGGGAGGTTTGTTCAATGATGAGGAAGGGTCTGAGCCACTTGTTCGAGAGTTTCTTGGACAAGTCGTGTTCAGGTTCAAAGCATTTGGCGGAAAGCCAGACTTTGTCCCCTACTTTGAATGACACTTCACATCTGTGTTTGTTAGTCTTGTTGGCTTGTTGTTCTTGTGTTTGTTTAAGGGCTTCGGTGGCTTCTCTGAGGAGTCTGTTCATTGTTGCTACCCATTCATTGAGAGAAGGGCAAGGGGTGGAGGGGTTGAGTTGCAAGGGGAGCAGGAAGTCGAAGGGCAAGCGCGGATGATAGCCAAGGTCGAGGTAGAATGGAGGACAGACAGCATTGTTGTAGGCAATCTCGGCGGCAGTGAGCAACTGATCCCAATCGTGTTGATGTGGATGACAATACTTCCTTAGGATTCTTTGAAGAGTATCGTTCATCTTCTCGGTTTGTCCATCGGTCTGTGGGTGGAATGCAGTGCTATACTTGAGCGTGGTCTCGTAGGCTTTAAAGAGGTGTTTCCATAATTGTGAAAGGAAGCGAGAGTCATGATCGTTGATGACGTTCTCGGGGAGACCGTGATGGCGTGCGACATGATTGAAGAAGAGAATGATGACGTCCTTGGCGTTGTGCGATGTGGTGCAAGGGATAAAGTGGGCGCTTTTAGTCAAGCGACAAACAATGACATAGATGCAATCATGTGCGCGGTCGGTCTTGGGGAGACCAAAGACGAAGTCCATGGAAACGGACTGCCACTGGTGGCTGGGGATCGGCAATGACTGTAGCTTGCCAGGCTTGGCGCCGTTTGAGGGGTTGACGGCTTGACATGTGGGGCATGAGCGAATGTAGGCTTTGACGTCGGCAAGTAAGGAAGGCCCGAATTCGCCCTTGGAGCCGTACTATCCCAACATTTCCCTCCCGACACCTTTGAAACCCCCTCCATCAAAGGCTTCCCCACTCACCCCGAGGCTCCACCCGGCGAGTACCCCATCGCCTTCGCTAGCAAGAAGCTCCTTCCCGCGGAGATGAACTACCCCTCCAACGAGAAGGAACTCCTCGCCGTGATCCACGCCCTCAAAGTTCAGCGCCCGTACCTCGACGGGCAATACTTCACCATCCGCACGGACAACACCATCCTCTCCTCTATCCTCACCGAGAAAGACATCACACCGCGCCAAGCCCGTTGGTTAGACTTCCTTGCCCAATTCACATTCACCATTTGCCACACCCCCGGCAAAAGCAACCACGTTGCCGACGCCATACGCCGCCATGACTCATATCCAACTCCTCCCATCACTCCACCACCGCTACACCCAAGGCTACCTCTCTTGCCCGGATTTCTCAACAATCTACGACAAACTTCGTGACCTCGACTCAGTCCCTGACTACTCCCTTCACGACCAACTTCTTTACATTGACACCAAAGGCACTCGCCGACTTTGCATCCCCGACGCACGTGGCCTCCGTACCCAGCTCTTGGCCGAGCATCACGATGCCAAGCATCAGTGGTAACGTTTGTTTGAGGAAGTCGAAGGCGTTTTGGCGGCGGTCGTTCCAAGTGAAGGGTTCTTCCTTGCGGGTGAGTTCGTGGAGGGGGTACGAGATGTCGAAGAAGTTGCGGAGAAGGGGGCGGTAGTTGGCAAGGCCGAGAAATGAGCGAAGTTGGAGTAGGGTCTTGGGTGGTGGATACTCGATGAGGGCGGTGACCTTCGAGGGGTCCATGCGTATACCTTCAGCGGAGATGATGTGGCCAAGGTATTCAACGCTTGAAGCGGCGAAGGTGCATTTGCTGAGCTTGGCGTAGAATTTTTGCTCTCTGAGGATAGAGAGGACCTGGCGGGGATGCTGAAGGTGGGTCTCAAAGGTGGGGCTATAGACAAGGATATCATCGAGGTAAACGGCAACACAGACTTCGAGGAGGTCGCGGAAGATGTGGTTCATGGTGGATTGGAATGTGGCGGGGGCGTTGGTGAGTCCGAAGGGCATCACGAGGAACTCGTAGTGCCCAAAGCGAGAACGAAATGCTGTCTTGTGGGTGTCCTCCTCACGGATGCGGATCTGGTGGACGCCACTGTGGAGGTCAATTTTGGTAAAATATTTGGCTCCACGGAGGCGATCAAGAAGCTCAGAGATCCGAGGTAGGGGGTACTTGTTCTTGATCCTGATCTGATTCAAGGCACGGTAGTGTGTGCACATCCAGAGTTCCGACGTTCCGCCTTTCTTGACGAAAAGGCAGCTTGTGCCGAAGGAGGATGAACTTGGCTTAATGAATCCTTTTTCAAGGAGTTCATTGAGTTGCCGCTTCATTTCTTCGGCTTCCGGAACAGAGAGTTGGTACGGAGGACGACAAGGTGGTGAGTGACCAGGCTCCAAATCGATGGTGTGGGATACGCCACGATCCGGAGGTAATCCGACAGGCGAGGGCTCGGGGAAAACATTCTTGAACTCGTTGAGGTTGGAGGTGAGGGCGGGGTCGGAGGGGGGGGCTTAGTCGGGTTTGTCCGTTGGTAGCAGGTCCTTCGGATGCTCGCGATCAAGGACAAGGCAATAGTAGGTGGAGTCAAGGTACGTACGAGCCATGTGAAGGAATTGGTGCGCGGTCACAGAGCTTGGGGAGGGAGGATAGGGGAGATAGGGAATGTCGATGGTTGTGTCAAGGGGGTTAGTAAGGCGGATGAAGTTGGGGTGGAACGAGTATGGCATGTACCGGTCCAGCCACGGTGTTCCTAAAACAATGTCCCACATCAAGTGCATGACATCGAATGAGACCTGAATGC